TTCTATTTTAATCATGATAAGGTTTACAATGATGTTCATGTCAAAGTTTTTGTTGACCTTAATGAAGATGAACATCAAGACATGCTCACTGATGTCGATGTAACAATGATTGGTGAAAAAATTGATGTAATGTCTAACATGGTGATTGAAACGTTTGTAGATGGACATGCTTTGATAGGATTAACTACAGAAAAAAAAGTAGATAAAGTAAATTGTAAATGGTCTAATCAACACAGAAACATGAGTGATTGATTTTTTTCGGGAATGTTGCTCTGTGGTTACATTTAGCTAATAGACGTATTACACAGACGATGATGCTGATTGTTGTAAGCGTCAGTATCCAAACAACGCAAGTTTTCTTTGTTTGGATAGAGCAAAATAACGCTAATAATCCTTTTATAAACCGAATTCAACCCCGTCTTTTCATGAAGCCGGTTTATTAATATATATTAAATTCTTTTCCTAAGTGTAACAAATACTTTTCTGAAAAACATCAAAATCGGTTTAACCAATCGCGAGATAATAGCGCACAAACACATAAAATATAAAACAAACTGAGAACCTCCTTTTTTGGAAATCGGTTAAAAAGTTTTGAATATTGTTAAAATCATTGCACAATTATATACAAGTATATGCATTTAAAAGCTGTATGCGTGTCTTTGCATTATTCTTACATATACGTACAGTATATTGGAATATGTATCAGAGACATTGTAGAAAATACTTTTTTAAAAAGAGTAACGAATGGAGTTTCTTGATCGTTCTTCTCCATTCGAATCTACATTTTGGAATGATCACCTAGCTTCACTGACGGACTGACTGACAGACTATTATTTATTTTGTATTTGTTAACGTTTCAAAAGTACTAAATTGTGGTTTAATTGAAATAAATGCTTTGACTTTGAAATGTTGCAAAGTTTGATAACAAAAATCTCTAGACATGTGCACTCGCAAACTCACATGCATCAAAAATTATATTTGTTCAATATTACACACGAAGCAACTGCTGTCTGACCTTCATAACCTCACTGCTTAAATCTTAATACAGATGTACAAAGGTTAGATCAATGGTCAGCACTTACACGATTTTAATTGACCCCTAACTATTGTTTGGATATGTTACTACACTATTATTTGAGACTACTGCGACTGTCTCAAATAATGCAGATGTTCATATTTCAGAATATTTTATTCTAAATTCGTGGTCGGCAGCACACTTGTGATACCTCGGGTGTACCTAACAGATGAAATTAATGAATTGGACTCAATCCAAATCCTCTGGATCTATAATCAGAAGGTATAAAATATATAGTTTATACCTTCACATACGATCAAACCGAGGAAATACTTGAAGTAAGCAAATAAGTTTATTATAGTTAGTTTATTTATTTTTACTTATGTTTGTTTATGAAATTGTACACGCGCACCTGTTATACTTAGATACTAACTTAACACGTTAAACGCCATGGGGGTCACCGGTGACCGGCGTTAGCGGAGGATTTACCTTAAACAGTTTTTTATTGGCAGTCAAAGTCTTAATTTAATTTAGCCATTCATTTTTAGTTTTATAAGCAATGTTATTGTACTTGAATATGTAAGCACATTTTTAACCTGAAACACAGGCTTGTACCTAGTTCAGGTTTTATATAAACTTACAACATTCCTTAGATAATAAGGTTTATTTTGTAATCAGGCTTTTTACACCAAATAAACATTATTATAAACATATTTTTCCAAAATATTCATAAAACTAATGTCAAAAATCGATCACAAGCCAAAGATGTTTTATAATAAGACATAGTCGTAAGGCATACTAAATTAACTAAACACCACAGCATGCTGCTCATGAGGAAGAGTGTCCCTGTGAATTAAAACTAGGACAGCTTTTCTCAGTATACATAAATGTATTTACGTGAGTAAACCAAAGATTTTTGATTGAAATCGTCCCTAAGGCTATAACTAGGCGGCCTGTAGACTTTGTTACTTCTGTTAAAAACATTAAAAAATATTCTTATCCTACACCGGCGAGTGATGTAACTGTGAATTTCGAAATGGATATTACAACAATACTAATTCCAATAGCCTACACCAAAACCGATGTTTTTCCTTTACAACTCTAAACCAAAGAATTATGTAAAATCCTTCTAAAGTGATCATTATTCTATGAAGCGTTCCAACATTTTTACATTGATGCGAGGACAGATGTTTTGATAAGCCGGACCTAGATGCCTAGAGCTGGTTGAGCATTGTTAAACATTGTTAGAGTTTACGTAATAATGCTTACTTTAATGATGGAATTAAAAGGATTTGTTTGCCCTTTTTTACGAATAGGTCAACTGTTTGTTTAATAACCTTAATAGGACTATTCAGTGTTTTAACTTCACGTTCGATTTGTCAAAATCATTACTACGGAAGTTAATAAATAATACTTGTCTATTTGAATAGTTCCTAATTGAAGCTAATTTAACTTTGTCAATAAATTACTAAAAAAAATTAATACTATTAGGGCGATTTTTCAATTATCAGTTAAATCTTAACTGTAGAATAAAATCGACGTTTGACACTTTTTAGTGTGAAAGAATTGTCAAATATTCAAAGTTATTCCTTGTTTAAAATTTAACTGAGCATTGTAAAATCAGCCCTTAGTACAATTCCAGACTGTACAAAAAAAACCTGGATTAAAGTAATGTATGAACTTGCATTCAGTAAACACCTTTGTGACAGATGGCAAATGAGGCTGTTCACAAAAACCGCAACGTTTATTCTTCAGTTATTCTGTTTATCTAATTCAAAGTTGTCCACATCATCAACCGACAACGGTCAAGGTCACTAGTATCTGACTGAATACAAGCTGTTTTAAAACCTCACTCGAAAAAACAAGTTTTAAGTTAACTCGACTCTTTCAAAGGAATAGTCACTAAACGACAACTGTTAGAAAAACTGAGGAGGACGTTATACATGTCTTACTCATAATTTGTATTTTATGCCAGCACATCACGTAAGTACCTAATCTGCTTGGTGGTTGGTGATTGGAGCAAGACTAGCAAAAACCGCTAAGAATAGAATTAATATGTTATTAGAGGCCAATATCCTATCTGGGTTCTAGAGCCAATGGTTAAAACTACCAAATATGAAGACATACTTAATGAATAACAAGCAAAAACGGTTTAATTACTTACAAAATTTCCATAATAAAAATGATACTTAGGTGCACTTAAAACAAGAAAAGCAACAGAACAAATTAATGTGCCATGGAGACCATAAAACAATGACCTTCAGTGCACTGAACATTAGCTGAGACTTGAAGGCAAACCGACATGATAAAATGATAATTAAAAACTGCAATATTCAAATCAAACCACTAAGCACTTAAAAATTAAATAAAATAAGTAATAAAACGCAAGATACATTATTACCCACACAAAGACACACAGCACAAAACCAGCTCCAAAGTTTAATTGTGAACATTTAATCATGAATGGCAAGAAACAAGACAAAGTTGTTCAAGACTATGAAAATTAGGAAAGCATAGCTGACGGCATTAAATATCCAGTAGTTAAATGAGATGATGACGACGATGATGAATATGAAGTTGATTCGGTCATGGAAAATATGGTAATAGATTCAAGAAAGCAAAAAAAAACACGCTAGTAAATCATATCAACAAGTTGCGAGAATACTTATAAGAGATGGATAAATATGGAAGAAGCGAAAGAAATACGGCAAAATCAAGATATAAACTTTTTCATATTTTATCCCATTAGAATGTGAGCATCGTGTGATAGATGTATGTGTGAATGTCCAGAAGGTCCTGCTTATGTTGCCTGTAAATGTCAAATGTATGATTTGAATCCACTGCAAATGTAACTAGACTTAAACTATTATTAAGATGAACATTGCCAAAGATCATGAAGTTCCTAATTAAATCTGAGAAGATTCCTATTACGTCAGAGATCTGTTTACGTTATATCCGATCTTTGAATAAAACCATCTATCTTGTGGACAAGCTATAAATAACTTTTTAATTCACTCGATAGATGATGTTTACCTACAACCATTAGATTTGCAATTCCAATCACTGGAATACATAAATAAAAATGTTTCTTACAAAATTGTTACAGCAATTACGTCCAACGTTTTTTCTTTTACACTTTCGTCTCAATTTCACGAATAAACTGTTGTACTGTATCAATATTTGTTTTATAAAACGGTGATGGTCTGTCTGGTCGTAAAATATGCCAATTATAATTCGTCACGTTCAATTGCAGACAATTAGTGATCAAATTATGTTTCTTTGATTGCTTTTTGTTTGGTGTGGCCTTGTTTCTTATCTTGTCTTTGTTATTTAATTGTATTGATGGCATATTTCTCATCCAACTGTTGTGTATTTGTTTATTGACCGGCAACTACTGATGTTGCGTGTAGTCCTAGTACTTTTCCTTTAAAACTAGGAAGTGTTTTACAAATAGGAGTAATTTTCTACAATCGCTGACATTTGTGACGTGTTTGAATGTTTCTTTGTTGTGTTTTTGGTGAGTTAACATACTAGTCATGAGCTTAACATAACTCGAGTCGGCACGAGAAAAGAATTTGTAATTTGGTATGTATTGTATTGATAAATAAAATGTAAATACCGTATCCTGCATTCAATTGCATTGTAAAATGTTGCATATAGTTTTGCAGAACAAAAACATAAAGTACCAAGAAAAATTTACTATGTACAAAAAGCTATAGGAAAACAACATTGCCTAAAAAGAACAAGCTTCGACGGAAGATAGACACAAAACAAAATAAAACAAAAAAGAGGAAAACGTTATTAAAATTAGTCTTATTAATTTGAACGAATTAGTCTCAAGGTGAATCGGTTATTTTTTGTTATTTACAACCTCTTTTGTAGGATTTCCGATACAGAGATAAATGGAAAATTAGTATGTTAACGACAGAGTCCCGTCTGTATAGAACAAGATGTAACCGAGTTAGGTATCGATGTTCGAACTCACCGAATCTTTTCACATGTACGTCCCTATTAAATGATACAGTTCTCGGTTTTGTTTCTTTCGTTTCCTTCGTTTCGGTATCGACCTTTGTATCTTTGGCTACCTTATCGCCATCTTCGGCATTATCCGACTTGACAATTTCATCAGTCATTGGGTAGATGAGGTACCCAGGTTTTGGTACCTCAGTTACTGTTTTGGTTACCGTCAACTCGGCAGTTTGCGTTTCGGTATCATCGGTATTTGTTTATCTGTAAAAAGTTTTACCGACTTAGACCCGGCTTGTAAAATTGGCAGCCTTTGGTTAGTATCCATGTAATGTTTTAGAAACATTGATACTTTAAATCAAAAGTGGATTCTTCATGTAAAGATGAGTTAATTGCGTTTGAAAATGACTTAAATATTTGAAAATAAGATTTACCAAAATGGAACCTAAATGTATACTTATCGTAATGAGAAGTAACATGAATTTCTATAGGATCATTGCAGTAGCAGAAACCATATTTATCAATGAACATGATTCATACCTTCTCGTGTTATCGTACATCGGGGCGACTGGGTTGTTCACATCACCAACAATCGTGGCTTTAACCGCATTTTGCACCAAAATTCCTGCAACAATGAAAAGCTTTTGTTATTGATTTGCTTTAAAGATACACTGAATCTTTTTTCCATTGTCTCCAGACTTTGTTATAAAAAAGGTAAGAAGAGTTGTAATTAAGAAAAATATTTTGAAAGCAACTACTTTTCATTATATAAAAACACCAGTTTACACCCAAATGTAATAATGAGAAAGCTCTACTAGTTTCGCGCTTAGCCGCAGCTGTGTACGTTGCTCATGATGAAGAGTCCTTCTATGACTCCAACTAGTAGAACGTTTCTCATTGTTTCATGTGAGCAATCCGGTTTTTTTAATTCATTTAGTGTGTCTCACGATAGGTATTATAAAATACTTCTCTCCGTGCTGCCTTATAAGTAGCAAGTAGCAGAACGTAGAACGTTGTATTCAGTAAAACGATTTTAAACAACTATTATTCTATAAATCAATCTCCTTCCTTCTTTTTGTCTTGTATTCCTTATTCTTCTTCTTTCTTCTATCATACAGTTTCACATAACTAACGTTCTTTTCTCTCATGTCACTTATCACACAGTTCATGCATCCATTTTAGAACATACTTTTTTTAAAAGAGTAACGAATGGAGTTTCTTACTCGTTCTTCTCCATTCGAATCTACTTTTTGGAATGAGCACCTAGCTTCACCTAGTTTCACTGACGGACTGACTGACAGACTATTATTTATTTTGTATTTGTTGACGTTTCAAAAGTACCAAACTATGGTTTAATTGAAATAAATACTTTGACTTTGACTTTGACTTTGACATTCTTTTCTATTCTTCTAATTGACATCCAAACTAACCGAATTAGTAAACCCATTAATTATTATTCTTTCACTTCTGTTGTGTATTTAACTTCATCCACGTCTAATATTGTTTATTATGGAAGTACATGTTGTTTTATTGCCTCACACAAAGCTATCATTATTAACTATAATCTCATCGCACACAAACCCAGTTCAAAGTTCAGATGATAATCTACATCGTGAAATATGGGTACAGACATCATCAGCAAATAGTCTGGTTATGAAATGTAATGTATTTTTATGGTCCATCAATATTTGATATGGGTTCGTAAGATATAGAAGTAGTGACGCGATAGCTAGATAAGTTACTAATGTATCTAAATATATTGAGGGTTTTTATACCAAACACTTTTCACTAGTTCCGACTAATAAGTGTGTCACACTTCATGATCGCCTAGTATTTCAGAAAAATAAAATATATCCTTAATGCCTTACTCTTTTCGAAAAACAAACCTAATTCCCTTTCTTGGTTTGGTAGTCGTGCTTATGGTCACTTAAGCATTTGGAATATTGGAATTCTTAATCGATTCTCAAAAATTTTTAAGTAAGTTCAGGTTTAAACTCACAAACCAAAAGGAAAGATATAACAAAAGGTACCGTAGAGACTGCAATGACTGGCGTTTTTGTAGGGCCCTCTTAAAAGTGGATTCAGGCAATTATTTTAAGGGTTATAATGGGTTTCGAATCTTTGGTGAAGAAGAATGGTGAGAATTATTCTTAAGAAGAATGACATAAGATAATTTTTAATAAATGTCCAATTAGTATTTTGAACAAAAAACTATAGCTTACACACGCCATTGTTCGAGTGTGCCCGACTAGTTTCAAACCATCAATAGGATGCATAATGCTATGGCTCGAAACTAATCAAGCATCATTAAACAGTATGTATTTTAATAAATTTAACACGTCTCATGACTATAATTATAACTAATTAGTTTAGAATTCTTAGCCTAATTTTTAACCAATCTCTTTGGTTCTTACATAGTACGAAATCGTGTTAATATTTACTATATTTGGTGTGGCGATATGTCCCACATCGGTAGCCAGTCGCCAGTGGACCGATTACGAAAGCAAATGGTCACTTGCCAATAACATTACTTAGCTAATGACGGTGTAAGCTAAAAACGATGAGCGAGTTGCATCTGTATGAAGACTGCTTTTATTTTTATTTTATTTGAATGTCAATAAATAATAAAAAAAACATTATACTCGTCGATCAAGTGTTATAAAATTCTATGAGTATGCTATCCTATTAAGATTATAAAGGTAAAAATTTGTATGTATGTATGTTTGTTTGTCTGGTACTCCTTCACGTCAAAATGGGTAAAGGGATCGGGATGAAAGTTGGAACTGGGGTAGTTTATAGTCAGAAATATAGGCTACTTTTTATCCCACGGGAACGCGGGCGGAGCCGCTGGCAGAAGCTAGTAAAATCTAAACAAGTAATGATATTAATATTAATGACTGTGTGGTTACTTGTTCAATCACGTGTCTACCATTTAAAACAAACCTATGTAGAACGAATCTACCTCTAACTCCACTGACACAAAATTACGAAAAATTCTATTTGACGTGTCAAAGTACCGTTTATTAGGTTCCTCGTAAAAAACGCGAATCGAACATTAAAATTAAGATTCATATTTTCTTAAATCGCTATCCGCTCGTAACAAACACCATAGAAAACTTTTACTCAACAGCGGGTGTCATTAAGATCCATGGAAGGTTTAATGACCTCATTTGGTTTTTATTCGCTTGTATGATGTGAATTATCTCTAAAACCTTAATTAAACATTATTGAAGTCAGTTATTTATTTAATTCGCATGAAAATGCTTTTTGTAGCGAGTGTCCATACTGTTCATGTGTGCTTCGGCCCTGGTTTAGAAATAAAAATTGTTGAAACGTGTTTGGGTTATAAAATTCTCATTACGTATGCATTTAATGTTATACTTATGCAATTTAATGTGAAGATCGACTCCTTATTAGTGTTTAGTCAATTAAGTCGATTTTCTAACAACACTAATGGGATTACTGGCTCGTTGGCCGAGTGGTCGCAAGTGCGACTGTCGGGCAAGGGGTCTCGAGTTCGATCCCCGGGCAAAGTACTACTGGGTTTTAAAAAAAATCTCAGTAGTAGCACGGAGTCTGGAAATGTGCCCGGTATATGGCAATAGGCTCACCCCCTATTACATGTGACTCATAACATAAATAGTGAAAAGTGGGTGTTACTTCTGTGTGCACCTCTGCCAACCCCTTCGGAGATAAAAAGGCGTGATGTTATGTTATGTTACCAATGGGATTATTGTTAAGAAAATGTTACTTAATATCTAAATAATGAGAGCAAGGTGGACAGACGACCTGATCAAGGTCGCAGGGAGCTGCTGGATGCAGGTCGTTTCGAACCGGCCTATCTGGAAGTCATTGGGGGAAGACTATGTTCTGCTGTAGATGTCCTGTGGCTGATATGATGATGATGATGATGATGAGTAAAATAAGGAATCGTGTCTTCTTTTTCTAATAAAATAAAAAATAATTGCTACGCCATTGGTACGAATAGTTGTTCCGGGTCTGGGTGTCATGTGTATATGAACTTGTATGTTTGTAAACGCACCCATGACGCAGGAGAAAATGCTACGGTGGGGCAACATTTGTTAAAAACAATCATTGTGGCTATTAAAAACTATATTTAGTATATTCGCTTAAGAAAATATGTACCAACAATTGAAAAATATGAGCGAAAACGCTTACGGAGAACCTAACGGGTAACCGGAGCTCCGGCTCGACGTGCAGGAGAAGGAACGGGGTGGTTTTTAGTCAGTAAGAGTCTGACACTCCCTCCCGCCTCACCCAGGTGGGAGCAGTCATTTGATGATTTTCCTCTCATAAAAAAAAAGCGTAAGAATCGTAACAATTGACGTTCTACAGTCTCTGCCTACCCCCATGGAACACAAGCATGAATTTCTGTATGTAGGCAATTCTAATCTTGATTAAATTGAATCTCCAAATTTTACGGTCATTTAACCATATCGCACTATGACACTATTCAGCATCTTGTACCTCTAGATACATAGTGCAAGTTATTACGTGAACTCCGTTACGTAATACCGTGGTCTGCAAAAACGATACTTAGTACATTATTGTGCGCTAACCTTTCATACTGTTGTGTGAAATATCTTATTTTGTCACTGAACAAACAGCTATCAATGAAATGTCAGAATTACGAAGCTTATATGATAGATTTGTTGATGAAATCTACTAGGAGTGCAGACGATGAAAAGAGTATAAAGTTGATTAAATTATTTTCACTAATTTTGTTTATTTGATCTCAGAGTTCGCTGGTAAAAGATGCCGTATACATTCCTACCTTTTTTATTTCACCAAGTTTATACATACATACCTATAAAATATACATAAATTATAAATTTATATGTAAATAAACAGTAAGTAGGTAAGGGAAAATTGTCATTGATATCTTGTCTTGTGTGTGATAAAAAATGCCTCATGAATTTAAACATTGAATAAGTTTATGTATAAATAAGTTTTTAAATAATCTAAATACAATTAAATAAAAGTATGCACTAAGTGTACTAGAATGAATGCAAATGACAATATTAACAACAAAAATAACAAGTTTTATTCATTGAGTTAAAACCTGGTTATGTCTAAGTTGTGTTATCTCAATGGTTTTATTATAATAATCTGCTATTATTTAGAACAGAAATGCATAACGTCTCAC